GTACCTCAGCCACTAGACGAAAACCTACTTGCCCTGGTCCAGAAGTGTGCGGAGGATATGGTCAAAAAAGTCAAAGAGGGCATTCACGTCAATGCAGCTGAACCTCCATCTTGTTTTTATGTACAAGTAGTTCTTGAGTCACGACTGTAATGGAGCCGGCCCATGAAGCTTTTAAGTTGTAATGATCGTAAAATGATTTTGATGTTGTTGTTTTTTTGCATCGGTTGTTTAAGTGAATTCGTCCGTTTTTTAAGCGAATGACTGGTGGTTAAGCAAACGATGTTAAGCGAAACCATGGTTTTGTGATGGGTACGGTTCTGCCAAAAACTGGACGTTAACTGCTGGTGTTCGGCAAAACCGTTGTGAAATGCGATCCCACGATTGTGGGATGCTGCAAACGGTCCATCTGCATAGGGATGAATGTCTGAAGAACCATCACGTGACTGTAGGGCAGTGATGGCGAACCTTTTAGAGACTGAGTGCCCAAACTGCAACCCAAAACCCATTTATGCATCGTCGACTGCCGGGCGGATGTGGCCCATTGGGTGGGCGTGGCCCATTGGGTGGGTGTGGCTGTGGTGGTAACGGCAGACTGGGTGGGACTAAAAAGTTCAATCAATCAATTCCAACTTTGCAAGAACTTTTTTTTTCCCATGAAATTGACTGATCGACTCATTGAACCTTTTTTTTTTTTTTTTTGCACACAGCGGCAGAGGCCTAAAGCGAAAAGGTTTTATAAAACCCAGCTGAAGGCCTAGGACTGGGGCGACGGCGTGCGTGCCCACAGAGAGGGCTCTGAGTGCCACCTCTGGCACCCGTGCCATAGGTTCACCACCACTGCTGTAGGGGGAACCAACTGCCAGAACTTCAGATCTGGGTCATAAGTCCCCTTTATTGGGTCTGCCGTAAATTCCAAGGGTTGTTTTAAATGACTGGTCGAGAGGGCTACCTGTATGGCAGATAATGGGTCACAGTCAGTCAGATCTGTTCTGCTCCTCCCATCCCTTTGACCTGCCTGAGGTCAGGAGTCAACCTCTCCATTCGCAAAGCATTTTTTGAGTTGGCAATGGCATAACAGCCTAATTCAGCACTGCACCATCTGTGCAGCTGAGCCCTTGTCGCACTATGCTGTTGTAATCTGAGCAAGGGCTAAGCCAAAGTACAGCAAGTTTTATGATCTGGGATCCAGGGATCTCTTGTGAATGTGCTTTTTTTACACGCAGAGACAGACTTTTATGACAGTTACAATAGGGCTTGGTTGCAATGGGTGAGCAGCGATCCATTTTTGAGTTCTTCCAAAAAACCAGTTTCATGACTGAGTCCTGGGCCCTTCCTTCCATACCGTGAGCCAGGGGTCTTCAAACTTGGCCCTTTTATGACTTGTGGACTTCAACTCCCAGAATTCCTCATTCTGGGAGTTTAAGTCCACAAGTCATAAAAGGGCCAGGTTTGAAGACAACTCATAAAAGGGCCAGGTTTGAGCTGACAGACAGAAAGATAAATTCCAACAACAACAAAAACAGGAGCAAGAATAGAAGAGTGAAACCCACTCTACCATTCAAGGAATTGCCCAATTCCTTCTAATTGTATATGGACTTTGGGAAAAATACAACTCTTAGCTGCCCTCCAGGGCAGCTGCGACTCAGCCAATGCTGAAAGATCAGCATCTGAGTAGATATTTCTTCAATGGCTCAACAGTGCCATCTGCGGGCATTTCCCAGCTCCTGATGCTCTCACCGAGAAATGAAAGGTTGGACTTTCACTCAAAACAGAGCTGGCAGGGACCTCGGTGGTCTTCTAGTCCAACTTCCTGCCAAGCAGAAGACCCTATACCATTTCAGACAAGTGGCTGTCCAGCCTCTTCTTAAAAACTTCCAGGGATGAAGCACCCACAACTTCTGAAGGCGAGCCATTCCACTGGTTGTTTTCACTGTCAGGAAGTTTCTCCTTAATTCCAGGTTGCTTCTCTCCTTCATTAGTTTCCATCCGTTGTTTCTTGTCTTGCCTTCTGATGCTTTGGAAAATAAGCTGACCCTTTCTTGTTTGTGGCAGCCCCTCAAATATTGGAAGACTGCTATCATGTTATCCCTAGTCCTGAATCATGAATCAACCATCCCAGTCCTCGTTAGTCCAATGTTATCTTCTTCTCATCCCAAGCTGAAGTTTCCAGTTCATATCCTCCCCTTATTTCTGACACCAGTCAGCAACAACCTCAAGGTGTGCAACATTTGCAATATTTGTCACTCATTAAGTTGGAGGCAAGGTCAACGGACTAGTAGTTGGCAATATCAAGCAGTTGTGATACGATCCGGTACCAGAGGATATGATTGTCGGTCGTCGGTTGTGGCTGAGTCACCATCTGATAGCTTTTTAGCTTGCCAATGTCCTTCTATCCCAAAGGGAGAAACTCATCCACCCAGATGATTAATAGAAGCTAATGGGTTTCTGAGAAAGGTTGGGTTATTTCCTGAGGATCTGGTAGGGCAGTCTGACTGAGCCTTCGTTGCTTATTGTGTGTCACTTCTTGGTTCTCTTGAGTTTTGGGAGATGAAACATCAGAAGATGCATCAGAATGTGCTGTTAGGAAAATCAAAAAGTAATTCTGACTAGGTAGGATTAACAGCTCATATTCTGGATTACATTGTGGTATAACAGAGGTGAAACAATAGACTAGAATGGAGTCCAACTATTCCATTCCCACCAACATTTGCAGGAGCCTGTGGTTACGCAACCGCATTGTGTGACACTTTTTGCCGTTTTCTTGCTCTCTGGCATTCCCTCATCCTACTCTGGACACATTTTGTGGAGATCTGGTTCTGGAGAAGGCTCTAATGCTGGAAAGTTGCAAGGAAAGAGAAGAGGATGACCAGCAGCCAGGTGGATAAACTCAGTTGCCATGGTAATAGGTAGACTGTTGGGATTTGAAGGACCAGGTTAGGAACACATCGTCATGGAGAAAATCTGGCTAAAGGTAGTCCTCAACTTATAACAGTTCATTAAGTGGCCATTGAAAATTACAACGGCACCGAAAAAAGTGACTTATGACCATTTTTCACACTTACAACCCTTGCAGCATCCCCCTGGTCACGTGATCAAAATTCAGTCATTTGGCAATTGGTTCATATTTATGACGGTTGCAGCGTCCCGGGGTCACGTGGTCCCCTTTTGCGACCTTCCTAACAAACAAAGTTCAATGGGCAAGCCAGATTCACTTAACAACCTTGTCACTAATTTAACAACTGCAGCGATTCACTTAACAACGGTGGCAAGAAAAGTCGTAAGATGGGGCAAAACTTCTCTTAGCAACTGCCTCGCTTAGCAACAGAAATTTTGGGCTCGGTTGTGTTTGCAAATCGAGGTCTAGCTGTAGTCAGTAGTATGCAATGCTGGCTTGACGGCATTTAATCAATCATCCATCTTCTTCCCCGGACCTAAAAGACCTTGACCGGTGCAAGGTCACCCAACTGGCTGGATTAGAACTCACGCCCAGTTTAGCATCTTAGCCCATAGGCGGAATTAAGGCCCACAGACTCTTTGCAAGGCCAAGCTAACGGCTCTAACGGTCCGTTCTGCAAAATTCCGCGGCGGGGAGGGCGGGCTCGCAAAGGAAAAACCTGGCGAAAACCACCCCCCCCCGCAGAAGCAGCCGAGATTGCTGGGATTTGGAGTCCGTCCCTCAACATCTAAGCCTAAACTGCTTCCTTTCCGGGACTACCGTTCCCGAAATGCTTTGCGAAGCGAACGCCCAGGTGTGGGCGCGCGCGGCCCTCTGGGAGAGGCGAGAAGCCGAACTTCGCTTCCCAGCATGCCTCGGGCGGGCGCCCAAAACGGAAGAGGCGTTGCCGTTGGTCACCTAGGAAGCGCGCCCGCTCTTCGCCGCGGCTCAGCCGGCAGCGTCCCGGGGACGGGCTTCCTCGCCTCCCTCCTCCCCGGGGCCGCAGACCCTGCGCGGAGCGGAGAGCCGGCGCCATGGGCGGGGAGGAGGAGGAGGTCCTGCGCATCGCCAAGCGGCTCGACAAGATGGTCGCCAAGAAGAGCGTGGTGAGTGGGGGGCACCGACGCCGCCCGCGCCTTCCCGGCCCGCGGAGGAGCCCGTCTGGAGGCCCGCCCGCCCGCCCGCCCTCCCTCCACCACCGCCGCCGACGCCGCCTCCGAAACGTTGCTCGGCGTTTCCAGTTTCTCCAAAGAAAACCCAGTCCGTCCTCGTCGCTGCCATGGCAACGCCCGCGCCGCATCGCCTGGAGAACGGGCCCCGCCCAAGACAGCCGTTTGGCCCCGCCTCCCCGCCGCCATTTAAATGCTTCAGCCGTTAGCCACGCCCTCGCTCTTGCCGTNCCTCGCTTAGCAACAGAAATTTTGGGCTCGGTTGTGTTTGCAAATCGAGGTCTAGCTGTAGTCAGTAGTATGCAATGCTGGCTTGACGGCATTTAATCAATCATCCATCTTCTTCCCCGGACCTAAAAGACCTTGACCGGTGCAAGGTCACCCAACTGGCTGGATTAGAACTCACGCCCAGTTTAGCATCTTAGCCCATGGGCGGAATTAAGGCCCACAGACTCTTTGCAAGGCCAAGCTAACGGCTCTAACGGTCCGTTCTGCAAAATTCCGCGGCGCGGAGGGCGGGCTCGCAAAGGTAAAACCTGGCGAAAACCACCCCCACCCCCCCGCAGAAGCAGCCGAGATTGCTGGGATTTGGAGTCCGTCCCTCAACATCTAAGCCTAAACTGCTTCCTTTCCGGGACTACCGTTCCCGAAATGCTTTGCGAAGCGAACGCCCAGGTGTGGGCGCGCGCGGCCCTCTGGGAGAGGCGAGAAGCCGAACTTCGCTTCCCAGCATGCCTCGGGCGGGCGCTCAAAAACGGAAGAGGCGTTGCCGTTGGTCACCTAGGAAGCGCGCCCGCTCTTCGCCGCGGCTCAGCCGGCAGCGTCCCGGGGACGGGCTTCCTCGCCTCCCTCCTCCCCGGGGCCGCAGACCCTGCGCGGAGTGGAGAGCCGGCGCCATGGGCGGGGAGGAGGAGGAGGTCCTGCGCATCGCCAAGCGGCTCGACAAGATGGTCGCCAAGAAGAGCGTGGTGAGTGGGGGGCACCGACGCCGCCCGCGCCTTCCCGGCCCGCGGAGGAGCCCGTCCGGAGGCCCGCCCGCCCGCCCGCCCTCCCTCCACCACCGCCGACGCCGCCTCCGAAACGTTGCTCGGCGTTTCCAGTTTCTCCAAAGAAAACCCAGTCCGTCCTCGTCGCTGCCATGGCAACGCCCGCGCCGCATCGCCTGGAGAACGGGCCCCGCCCAAGACAGCCGTTTGGCCCCGCCTCCCCGCCGCCATTTAAATGCTTCAGCCGTTAGCCACGCCCTCGCTCTTGCCGTAAACCGCTCGTGGCCCCGCCCACTTCTCTAGCGCGTCGCCCGCCCCTTCTAAACCACGCCCCCTCTCCCCGATCGCCGCAGCCTTGGCTGGCCGCTTCTGTCCGTTTTTTTTAACTTCTTGCGCCCTCCCGCGTTTTTCTTGGGGTGAATCCGTGGGGCGCTTTAAAGGAAAAAAAGGATCCCTGTGCTGGGATCCTGCCTGCTCGTTTCTTTGCGTGCTTCCAGATTCCTTTGGGTTGATCTCGATTCCGGGGGATGCTGCTTGTCCTTAAAAAACTGCTTTTTCCCTGGGAGATTTTTTTTGACCTGTTTGGCCGGGATTTCCTGGTGGTCTTCCATCCAGGTAGCAACCCGTCTGATCTGGCTTCATTGTTTTGAGCCAATCCAAACTTGACATGGGGTCGCCACCTACTGTAAGCAAAGAGAAAGGCTTCCTCAAACTGCTAAGGACATCCATGTAGTTTTCTTCCCAGTGGCGTGGAACTGGATTGTTGCTGCTTCCTTCTAGGGTGGGTTTCTGTTTCCCAGCCCTGAAATCTCCTGGTGGTCTTCTGACCAAATGGCAAACATCAGGCTTTTAAGAAGAGACTGGACAGTCGCTTGTCTGAAATGGAACAGGGTCTCCTGCTTGAGCAAGGGGTTGGGCTAGAGGACCTCCAAGGTCTCTTCCAGCTCTGTTATTCTGTACAGGTAGTCCTCGACTTACGACAGTTCATTTAGTGACTGTTTGAAGTTACGACAGCACCGAAAAAAGCAACTTTATAACCCTTTTTCCCACAACCGTTGCGGCATTCCCCATGGTCACGTGACCAAAATCCAGATGTTTGGCAACTTGACTCGTATTTATTGACAGTTGTAGTTTCCCGGGGTCATGTGATCCCTTTTGCGACCTTTGGACAAGCAAAACCAATGAAGAAGCCAGATTCATTTAACCATCGTGTTACTAACTTAACTGCAGGGATTCATTTCACAGCTGTGGCAAGAAAGCTGGTAAAATGGGACAAAACTCATCGAACAAAATGTCTTGCTAAGCAATTTTGGACTCAGTTGTAAGTTGAGGACCGCCTGTGTTCTATCTTTTGGACAGGGGAGGTCAATCTGTGGGACAAAGAGGGTGGTCTGAAGTCAAAGCTGCTTGGGGATGGTGTCACGTGCGCACAGCAAAGGGTGGGGATCATGACGTCACGCCCAGCGTTTTGCAGATTTGGAGACACCCCCTCCAGTGCCTAAGAATGCTTTCACCCCTCCCCAGTACTAATTTGGTCCAACTGCTCAGGCTCTTGAACTCAACCAAGGCTGCATCAATGCTCTCCATGATTTTATTAAGGTGGGATGTTGCTTATCCCAATGGTGCTTTTTCAGGAGGCAACAGGACTTTCTTGTTTTTCTTTGAAGACCTTTCGCTTCTCACTCCAAGAAGCTTCTTCAGCTCTGACTGGATGGTGGAGGAACGGAAGGATTTATACTCCTTGCAGACAGCTGGAAGTAGGGCAAATGTATATGGAGCCGTCTTCTCTGCAGGGCCCAGGGCAGAAAACATCCTGCAGCCAAGAAGGCTCCACACCCATTTGCACCACTCAGGTGACCCTGAGGACACAGGTAAACCTCCAAGTGGCCTCAAGGACTCTCTAAAAGAATGCAAATGACCAGCTGTCTGCAAGGAGTATGTTGTTAGTTGCGAAGTCGTGTGTCTGACCCATCGCAACCCTATGGACAACGTTCCTCCAGGCATTCCTGTCCTCTACCATCTTCTGGAGTCCATTTAAGCTCCTGCCTACTGCTTCAGTGACTCCATCCAGCCACCTCCTTCTCTGTCGTCCCATTCTTCCCACAACTTCTGAAGGCAATCTGTTGCATTGGTTGATTTTTCTCACTGTCAGAAAATGTCTCCTTATTTTCAGGTTGAGTGTGTCCTTGATCAGTTTCCATCTGTTATTCCTTGTCTGGCCTTCAGGTGCTTTGGAGAATAGGTTAACCCCCTCCTCTCTGGGACAGCCCCTCAAATATTGGAAGACTGCTATCATGTCTCCCCTGGTCCTTCTTGTCACTAGACTAGCCATGCCCAGTTCCTGTAACCGTTCTTCATACATTTTAGTCTCCAGTCCCCCGATCATCTTTGTTGCTCTTTTCTGCACTTTTTCTAGAGCCTCGACATCTTTTCTGTAGCGTGTTGTTGTTGTTAGTTGCGAAGTCATGTCTGACCCATCACGACCCCATGGACAATGTTCCTCCAGGTCTTCCTGTCCTCTACCATCTTCTGGAGTCCATTTAAGCTCACAGCTATTGCTTCAGGGACTCCATCCAGCCACCTCCTTCTCTGTTGTCCCCTTCTTCTCTTGCCTTCAATCTTTCCCAGCATTACGCTCTTCTCCAGTGAGTCCTTCCTTCTCATTAGGTGGCCAAAGTACTTGAGTTTCAAGGATCTGGCCTTCTAAAGAGCAGTCAGGGTTGATCTCCTCTAGGACTGACCGGTTTGATCGCCTTGCAGTCCAGGGGACTCGCAGGAGTCTTCTCCAGCACCAGAGTTCAAAGGCCTCCATTCTTTGGCGCTCAGCCTTTCTCATGGTCCAACTTTTAGAGCCATACATTGCAACTGGGAAAACCATGGCCTTGACTATACCCACTTTTGTTGGCAGGGTGATGTCTCTGCTTTTTCGTATGCTGTCTAGATTTGCCATAGCTTTCCTCCCCAGGAGCAAGCGTCTTTTAATTTCTTGGCTGCAGTCCCCATCTGTGGTGATCTTGGAGCCCAGGAAGATAAAATCTGTCACTACCTCCATTTCTTCCCCATCTATTTGCCGGGAATTGAGAGGGCCGGATGCCATGATTTTGGTTTTCTTAATGTTGAGTTTCAAGCCAACTTTTGCACTTTCCTTCTTCACCCGCATCAAGAGGCTCTTTAGTTCCTCTTCACTTTCTGCCATTAGAGTGGTATCATCTGCATATCTTAGGTTGATGATGTTTCTCCCGGCAAGGAGTATAAATCCTTGCAAAATCCACGACAATTATTAAGTGAATCCCACAATCACTAAGCAAGGCCCAGTTCCGCTCTTGATTTTGCTTGTTGGAAGCCAGCTGGGAAGGTCACATGTGACCTGGGATACTGCAACTGTGATAAATGCATGCTGGTTGCCATGCGCCTGAATTTTGATCACTTGACTTTGGAGATAGTGTGACTGTTGCAAGGGTGAGGACCAGGGCTTTTTTTCTCGGAGAAAAGGTGGCGGAACTCAAACCTGGCCACGCCCTCATCAAACCCTAGGACCGCCCCTTTAGAGAACAGGAATGCAAGTAAAATTTGGGAGGGGCTATTTCCGGTGCGGCCGGCCCGGAAAAAGGTGCCGGAACGCGGTTCCGCCGCGTTCCGGCTGAAAAAAAGCCCTGGTGAGGACACACCATAAGTCACTTTTCCCCCTGCTGTTGTAACTTCCAATGGTCGCTAAACAAATGGTTGTAAGTCAAGGACTACTTCTGAACTGTTTCCAAGAAACAACCGACTCCATTCCCTTCTAGCACTGATGATGTTACCAAGTTGGGTCATGAAACGTCTGCAAGAAAACAACCCAGCAGAGTGCGTTAAGGATCCCACCGATTAAAAGTCCTCGGAAACCTACAACCTTACCTAATTTGAAAGGTTAAGTGTTAGGCAATCCCATTTTGATTTTTCTTTTGTTTCATATATGTTATTTCAGTAGATATACTGTATATTTTGATTGAACTAGCTTTCCCCATTCTTATACTGTACCCCCTCTCTGTTTGATTGGTAACGGCCCTCTATTTCTGCTTAGACTTGGCAATGCATCACCTCATCAAAACAATTTAAACAATTGGATGTTGGATGTCTGTTAACTTGTGGAATTTCTTTTGTTTTCGAGGAAGGGGCAATGGACTTGCTGAAGGAACTGAAAAGTATGCAGATAACACTTCATTTGCTGCAGGTAAATCATGGTGTTGACTCTTTTTTTTTCTTTTTAACTTATTCTCAGTTTGACTTGACTTCTTTGCACATTATACTTTGCAAAAAAACCAACCATTTACTTGATCATGAGTACATTCAAGTCCTGCATTGTCTGACTGTTTCTGCCCTTCTCATATTTTGTGATACACACTTCTAATTAACTCGTTCCTCTATATCAGGGCTTTTCAATTAATTTGTTCCGCTATATAATATCTGTAGTCTTCAAAATCCATTTCAGGTTGTGATTAAGTGTCCAGCAGCATGGAAAACAAAATGTTTCTGTAGGGAGCAGGGGGAAAAATGGGACAGAGATAAGGTTTATAGAACTATGCAGGTAGTGTTCGACTCACAACCACAGATGAGGCCAAAATTTCCACTGCTAAGCAAGACAGTTGTTAAGTGAGTGGTGCCCCATTTTATGACCTTTTTGCCATGATTGTTAAGTGAATCACCGCAACTGTTAAGTGAATCGTGGTCATTAAGCGAATTTGGCTCCCCCCCCTTGACTTTGCTTATCAGAAGCTTCCTAAGAAGATTGCAAATGACACTATAATAAATAAATGCCAGTTACCAGGCACCCCAAATTTGATCACATGACCGTGGGGATGCTGGAATGGTCATAAGTGTGAAAAGTAGTCATTAGTCACTTTTTTTTCAGCGCCGTTGTAACTTTTGAACGGTCATTAATTGAACAGCTGGCTGTAAGTCGAGGACCACCTGGGCAATTATAAAGTTGCTGTTTTATGGAATCAGTGCAAATTGTCAAATAATCTGTAACTTGACCTTTGGGCGCTCTTCTCTTGCCTGGGGGAATTTAGTCTAGCTCAGTGTTTCTCAACCTTGACAATTTTAAGGCATGTGGACTTCAATTCCCAGAATTCCACAGCCAGCAATGCTGGCTGTGGAATTCTGGGAGTTGAAGTCCACATGCCTTAAAATTGTCAAGGTTGAGAAACACTGGCTCTAGCTAGTGAATTTAATGTAAGCGATTTGCTTAAACAAGAACCCCTCCCTGTTTAATATTTTGCAGTCTACCCGAATCGGGATGTCGGTGAATGCCCTTCGAAAACAAAGCACAGATGAGGAAGTGATTGCACTCTCGAAATCGCTTATCAAAGCTTGGAAGAAGCTCTTAGGTAAGAAGCAGGCATACTATGGGCGAATCAAATAATTAAAAAAAAAACCCTTATGGAATAAATCAAGATCCAGCTACTTTCGGTTTTGAGCTACGTCGTGCGCATGCAAAATGTGAAGGCAGGAATTGCATTCCCTTTCTGTGTAGAGATTTTAATCCCGTCATAATCATTTACCCTTCTTACGGTCTTCTTTATTCCTCCCTATTATTATTATTATTATTATTATTATTATTATTATTATTATTATTATTATTATTATTATTATTATCTTATTATGACCATGATGATTATTCTATTGCTTCACATGGACCCTGAGAGCTTCTGTATGAAAGACAAATTCCTTGTGTGTCTAATTCTGGGCTTTTCAACCAGTGGTACATTTGTTAAGTGAATTCCGGCCTCTCCCTTTGGTTGTGTTTGTCGGAAGCTGGCTGGGAATGCTGCAAATGGCAGGCAGCCGTTGCAAAGACATACCGGTTGCCAAGCAACCCAAGGTTGATCCCATGACCATGGGGATGTTGTGACAGTCATAAGTGCGAGGACCATTTTTTTCAGTACCATTGGAACTTCAGACGGTCACTAAAAGAATGGTTTGCACACCAAGGATGACCTGTAAACCAGGTGAGAACATCCACTCTCCTAGGACAGGGCTTTTCAACCAGTGGTATGGGTACCACCTGTGGTACATTGGCACCTGGCAGGTGGTACGTGACCATCCTAGAAAAGTGGTTGCGGGGGAGGGGAATGAGCTGAACCGGTGGCAGCACCGCACAAGCCTGAGCGAAAGATGGCTGGAGCTGCAGGGCTGTCAGGGCTCAGTGGAAGCGCCAGGATCAGCGCTTCTTCGGGGCTGTCAGGGCTCAGTGGAAGCGCCAGGATCAGCGCCAGGCTCCAGCTGGAGCTCGGCGCTGATCCTGGCACTTCCGCTGAGCCCAGAAGAAGCACCGATCAGCTGGAATGTTGCAGCATCTCCAGGGTCTTGTGATTTACATTCAGATGCTTGGCAACTGATTCATATTTATGACGGTCACAGTGTCCCAGGGTCATGTGAAGTGACCAAAACCTGCTGCAACCACCCAACAGACGGGGGAATAAAAACCAAACACCCCCCCACTCCATCCCCGCTGCCAATCCTCAACAGAAATGCTCACAACAATGAAAACCTCGGACAGGAGGAAAAGCACCGCTAGGTGGGCAGGCAGGTGTCTTGCTCAGCTGTGGCTTGGGGGCCCCTTTTTTCAGTGCCATTGTAACTTTGAACAGTCACTAAGCGAACTGTTGTAAGTCGAGGACTACCTGTACTTTATCACTTTTTTCCTTTTTTTTTTTTGGTCATCAAGTTTTTGACACCTTGCTAGGCGACTGGTGGTCCTCGGATGTTGCCATATCCTAAAAGTGGTACAATGGGTGAAAAGGTTGAAAAGCCCTGGTCTAATTCACGCTTGGCCAAATAAAGTAGTTTAATTTCTATTTGCATGGACATAAACTTGGTTAGCCTTCCTGGTTAAACCGGTGAGGAAACTTGACCAGATGAACTAAATCTTGCTTTTATCGTAAGGCTACGTTAACAGAAGTTTGCAAGTCTGAAGGTACAGATTTCCTGTCTGCCCACTTTTCACTGCTAGAGCCATCGGGGCAGGTCCTTCCTAACCGTTAAACCAGTTTTTCTCAGCCTTGGCAACTTTCAGATATGTGGACTTCAACTCCCAGAATCCCCCCACCAGCAAACGATTAGGGCAAGACCGGCTGGGGAATTCTGGGAGTTGAAGTCCACACATTTGAAAATTGCCAAGGTTGGGAAACACTGCTGTAAACTCTCAGAATTCCCCAGTCCTAACTAACCTTGCAAGACTATGGTACTGTTATTCATGAATTCCTAATTCCACTACAGCTGGTCCTCGAATTAACGACCACAATTGAGTCCAAAATTGATGTTGCTAAGTGAGAAATTTGTTAAGTGATGATGATGATGATGATGATGATGATAATAATAATAATAAAGTTGGAAGGGACCTTGGAGGTCATCTAGTCCAACCCCCTGCTCAGGCAGGAAACCCTATACCATTTCAGACAAATGGCTGTCCAGTCTCTTCTTAAAAACTTCCAGTGTTGGAGCATTCACCGCTTCTGGAGGTAGGTTGTTCCATTGGTTAATTGTTCTCACTGTCAGGAAGTTTCTCCTTAGTTCTAGGTTGCTTCTCTCCTTGATTAGTTTCCACCCGTTGCTTCTTGTCCTGCCTTCAGGAGCTTTGGAGACTAGCTTGACTCCCTCTTCTTTGGGGCAGCCCCTGACTTTTGCCCCATTTTTACGACCTTTCTTGTTAACTGAATCACTGCAGCTGTTCAGTTAATAACTCGGTTGTTAAGTGAATCTGGCTTCCCCATGGACTTTGCTTGTCCGAAGGTCGCAAAAGGGGATCCCATGACCCCGGGACACACTGCGACCGTCGTAAATATGAGTCAGTTGCCAATGACCACGGGGATGCTACAGTGGTGGTCAGTGTGAAAAACGGTCATAAGTAACCTTTTTTTAGGGCTGTTGTAACTTTGAACGGTCACTAAATGACCCGTTGCAAATTGAGGACTACCTGTACTTCATACTAAGTCCATGAATACTGGGATTCGTGGCTGCTACCTTGATAATCTACCCTCAAATTGTAACGATATTTACTTCCAAATTAAATTTAGTTCAATTTTCGTTGTCAGTGGTGGCGAACCTATGGCAGGGGTGCCAGAGGTGGCACTCGGAGCCCTCTCTTTGGGCACACACACCGTCTCCCCAGCCCTGCCTCCTCCCACAGCTCCCTCCTCATCAGCAGCCCCCCCGGAGGAGAGTCGCCCCTGGGCACGGCCCACAGAAGCAGCGCAGCCAAGGACATGGTCGCCGGGCAGCGGGGACAAGACTCCACCCTTGCGCCCCGTTGCACGCAGATGATGCTGCGGGGCATGGGCGGAGGGCGTGGCCGCCATGATGCTGCTGGGCTGCCTGGGTGATCTGTGGTGGGCCGTGGAGGTGGTGGGTGGCCCATTGGGCAGGGCGGAGCGGGGATGGGGGGCAGTTTTTGGGCACTCGGTCTCTAAAAGGTTCGCCATCACTGCCGTAGGTCATAAACAGACCTTCCAAAAGTCAAAGCAATCAAACAGGAACGAGCTTCAGGTCCAAACAGAGGACAAACTAGAAAGGGTCTCCAGTTACGGAGGGACGCAGCCTTAACCCTGAACGTTCCCCTGCCGTATCTCTTTGGAGAAGTAACAAAGATTTCCAGGAAAAAGATGTAGCTTAGATGTGGATCCTTTTTCCTGGCGAAAGCTGGTTTGTTGCTCGGTCTTTTAATTGCCCCCCCCCCAAAAAATAGCATCCCCTCTCCGTCATTGTCCACGTTATGACAGATATTCTTCCAAGCCCCCCCAGGTGTTAAGCAGACATAGAAACATGGATGATGCTGTTATCTACTGCTTTGGAAGAAGATCTTATGACCAAGGAACGGGCTGTCCTAGAAGCTGACTAGTGGCACAAGGCTTCCTTAGGGCGACAGTCGTTCTTTACTGCTTGTCCTTCTTCCTTCTTAACTCTTCAGATGCCTCCGAAGATAAGAGAGATGCAAAGAAGAAGAATTCGCTGTCAGCGTCTTCTTCAAAACAGACGGGTGATTCGCGAGACCAAAGGTAACCCTTAGCCAGAGATAGTAGTATTGTGCCCGTTGCCCAATTAACCCACCCAAGTTTTGTTTCAAATGTTCATTTAGTTCATATCCCACCTTTATGATTTGTTTTATAAACAGTTCAAGGCAGTGAACATAGCCAGTACTCCTCCTTCCTCCTATTTTCCCCCACAATAACAATCCTGTGAAGTAGGCCGGGCTGAGAGAGAGAGACTGGCCCAAGACTGGCTGAGAGAGAGAGAGCTGGCTTTCATGCCTAAAGTGGGACTAGAATTCACAGTCTCCTGGGGATTGGCCCAAAGTCACCTAGATGGATGCCTAAAGTAGGGCTAGAGCTCCTAATCTCCTGGTGATTGGCCCAAAGTCACCCAGCAGCTTTCATGCCTAAGGCAGGACTAGAACTCACCATCTCCTGGTGATTGGCCCAAAGTCACACAATAACTTTCATGCCTAAGGCAGGACTAGAACTCACAGTCTCCTGGGGATTGGCCCAAAATCACCTAGCAGCTTCCATGCCTAAAGCAGAACTAGAACTCCTAATCTCCTGGTGATTGGCCCAAAGTCACCCAGCAGCTTCCATGCCTAAGGCAGGACTAGAACTCCTAATCTCCTGATGATTGGCCCAAAATCACCTAGCAGCTTCCATGCCTAAAGCAGAACTAGAACTCCTAATCTCCTGGTGATTGGCCCAAAGTCACCCAGTAGCTTTCATGCCTAGGGCAGGACTAGAACTCCCAATCTCCTGATAATTGGTCCAAAGTCACACAACAGCTTTCATGCCTAAGGTAGGACTAGAACTGACCACCTCCTTGTGATTGGCCCAAAGTCACCCAGCCAGTTATCATGCCCAGGGCAGGACTAGAATTCCAATCTCCTGGTAATTGGCCCAAAGTCACCTAGCAGCTTTCATGCCTAAGGCAGGACTAGGAACTCACAGTTTCCCTGTTATTGGCCAAAAGTCACCCAGTTGACTTCCATGCCTAAGGCGGGACTAGAACTCACATCCTCCCAGTTTCTAGCCAGATGTCTATTATTATTAATATTAATATGGCTTCCCTACTTAGCTTAATTCAAACGGGGAAATGTTACTTCTCTACTGACAAAGGTTCCTGAGAAGCGATGGTGGCTCCATTTTGACATATAGGTTATATAATGTCCTATTCTACAGTTATAAATGGAAGAAAAAATAAAACACCTACAAAACACAGTGGACTTGGTGCATTTCTTTTTATTCTTCTTTATTATTTGATTCACTTTCATTTCTTCTGTCTTTCTCACACTGTTCCTTTTATTAATAAAGACCATTTCTCATTTTGTTGCTTTATTTCATTTGTAGTTTTATTTATTTCTTTATTAACCCAGCCTTCTGTTTATGTACATCAATTTCTTTTGACTAAGTAGTATCACAATGCCACACAAAGGGATAAGGGTCCTTTGGCCAGTGATTAAAAAATTACTGGCAACGCCACCTGTCCTAAATCTTGCAATCCTCGTCTCCAAGTGTACCAATGTACATTTATTCTAAATTCCTTCGTGGGATTCTCAAATGATTCTGCGTGTGTCAATCAACAACTCAAATCAGGGGCTTGCGATTCCCAATCAGAGGACTCGGAGTAGTTCTGTTAATTTTCCCTAGACCTTGATGTTGATTGAAACATTTTCTGGATAGAAACACACAGATGTTTAATGTTAAAATGATTCTACATAATTTGAAAACCTAAGAAGTGATTGGCCAGTTGGTTCGGCTATTACTCTGCTGAACGCATAATTCCCAGGGTGCTGCCTAATGTCCATGTGTATTTGCCATGTAGTATGGCTGCAGTAATATTTATGGCTTATTATTATTATCTATCTTCCTCCTCCCTCTTATTGGTATGATTATGATTATTCTGTTGCTTTACATGTACAGGTAGTCCTTGACTTACGGCCACAATTGAGACTAAAACTTTGGTTGTTAAGTGAATTTTGACCCATTTTGCAGCCTTTCTTTCCTCGGTTGTTAAACGAATCACTGCAGTTGATAAGTTAGTAACACGGTTGTTAAGTGAATCTGGCTTCCCCCACTGACTTTGCTTTGCAGAACGTCGCAAAAGGGGATTGCTTTGACCTTGGGACTCAGCAACTGTCGTAAGTATGAAGCAGTTGCCAAGTATCTGAATTTTGATCATGAGGATGCTGGAAACGTCGTAACTTTGAAAATGGTCGTAAGTCACTTTTTCAGTGCTGTTGTAACTTTGAATGGTCACTAAACAAACTGTTGTAAGTCGAGGACTACCTGCACACTGAGAGCTTCGGTACCGGAGACAGATTCCTTGTGTGTATAATCACCAAATCAAGGATTCAGTTCAATTTAGCCTTGAGTCACATCCCACTAGATGCAGGGCTAGGCAACCTTGGCTCTTTTATGACTCGTGGACTTCAACTCCCAGAATTCCTGAGCCAGCCACCCTGAGGGGAAAGGGAGAGGTTTCCAAACTGAGCCATGCTGGCTCAGGAATTCTGGGAGTTGAAGTCCAAGAATCATAAAAGAGCCAAGGTTGCCTACCCCTGCCCTATATCATTCCAAACAAATGAGCCAGCATGGGGGAACTATGGCCCCCTCATGACTTGTGGACTTCAACTCCCAGAATTCCTGAACCAGCATGGCTCAGCATGGAAACCTCTCCCTTTCCCCTCAGCGTGGCTGGCTCAGGAATTCTGGGAGTTGAAGTCCATGAGTCATAAAAGAGCCAAGGTTGCCTACTCCTGCGACTAGAGCAAATATTCAGTAACACAGTGAAGCACGACCGATTGTACCGTTCGGATGTTATGAATGATTTTTATTGTCCCAATAAAAATTTATCAGGAGGCAGCTGGACTTTCTTTGTTCTTCCTTGAAGACATTTCACTTTTCATCCAAGAAGCTTTTTCAGCTCTGACTGAATAGTGAGGAATGGAAGGATTTATATTCTTTACAATCATCTGGCCGTTAGTGCTCTTTCTGAGAGTCGTTGAGGCTACATGGAGGTTTATTTGTATCGTCAGGACCCCCTGAATCAGAGTACAAGTAACGGAATAACAGAGTTGGAAGGGACCTTGGAGATCATCTAGTCCAACCCCCTGCTCAGGCAGGAAACCCTATACCATTTCAGACAAATGGCTGTCCAATCTCTTCTTAAAAATTTCCACTGATGAAGCACCCACAGACCCATCAACCTCCAAGTGGCCTCAGTAACACTGCTAAGGACCAGATGACTGCAAGGGATATAAATCCTTCCACCCTCCACCATTCAGTCAGAACTGAAGAAGCTTGAATTACAGACCGTAATTCATGTGAATATGGAATTGGTTTGATTGCTGAATGTGAGAAGAGTCGATACACTCACGGAAGCAAACCAATGTACGACAAAGCTCGGGGGAATGGCTTAACCTCACATCACGGTATCTGGGAGTTGAGTCCTGGCAACTGGAATTTCTTTTTTTTTTTTTAATTCCAAACATTTTGCTGCTTATCCAAAGTAGCATCTTCAGTCTGGGCAAGCTGGTTCAGGCAGAGTTCCTCAACCTTTCCGTGTTGACGGCCCAGAGGGAGGCAGAGGTGGGGGGGGGGAGAGGGGATGGTTTTGTGGGAGGGGCAGGTGTGCACGCGCGTATGTGTATCTTGCTCACGCGAGTGGGGCCCTGAGTCCCTGCAACGCTCGCGTGAGTGGGGCAGTACGTGCATACGGACTCGTGCACCAGCCAGCCACTCACGCTGCTTGGTTGGTGAATACGGCATGGACCAGTAGTGGGCCTTGGCTCACAGGTTGGGGATATAGATAGAATAGAATAGAGCTGGAAGGGACCTTGGAGGTCTTCTAGTCCAGCCCCCTGCTCAAGCAGGAGAACCTATGCCCTCTCAGACAGGTGAATGTCCAGTCTCTTCTTAAAAATCTCCAGTGATGGAGCGCCCACGATTTCTGGAGGCAAGCTGTTCCACTGGTTAATTGTCCTCACTGTCAGGAAGTTTCTCCTTAATTCCAGGTTGCTTCTCTCTCTGATCAGCTTCCAACCATTGTTTCTTGTCTTTCCCTCTGGTGCTTTGGAGAATAACGTGACACCCCCCCCTGCCTTGTGGCAGCCCCTCAGATACTGTAACCCCGCTCTCATGTCTCCCCTATTTCTTCTTTTCTTTAGACTAGCCAAACCCAAGTCCCGCAGCCGTTCTTCGTATGTTTTAGTCTCCAGGCCTTGGATCATCTTAGTTGCTCTTCTCTGAATTGTTTCCAAACTCTCAACATCTTTTTTGTGATATGGTGACCAAAATTGGCTGCAGTCTTCCAGGTGTGGTCTTACTAGAGTTTTATAAAGCAGGATATAAATAGTAAAACAAAAGTCCGTTATAAATCCCAGTCATTAAGTGTGACCTCCCTGTTGAATATGAGTCAGTGGTCTTACTCTTCCTGGGGACTGACTCCAGAGCAGCCTAAAAAAATGGCGGGGACAGGTTGTGTCTGAGGCCTCCACCTCTACTGAGGGAAGGATTTTCCCCTTTAGCATAAATGGGTTCCTGAGAGGTCCTTGGTGTTCTCTGAGCTTGGTTGTTTTCTTGCAGACGTTTCATTACCCGACTAGGTAACATCATCAGTGCTAGAAGGGAGTGGGGTTTGCAAGGAGGAGCAGGAGCCCTGGGGGGTCCTTGGCGCCCTCTGAGCTGGGTTGTTTCCTTGCAGACGTTTTGTTACCCAACTAGGTAACCTCATCAGTGCTAGAAGGTGCTCGTCAGAAGGGGACAAAAAGGGATCACGTGACCCCCCAAGACACTGCCACTGTCATAAATACGAGTCCGTTGCCAGGCGTCTGAATTTTGATCACGTGACCCTGAGGATGCCTCAAAGGGCATGAATGTAAAAAAAAAACAGTCCTAAGTCACTTTTTTCCAGTGCCGTTGTAACTTTGAACGGTCACTAAATGAACGGATAGTCGAGGACTATCTGTGTTAGATTAAGACTGCCCTCATTCTTAGCCAGCATTAGCTTTTGGGCC